AGCCTAGGTCATCAGTTGCTGACAGGGTACTGTATTCAATTTCTCTCCAATTATGTTATTTCTCTGTCCCCACTCCCAGCCAGATGGTTTCCGAATTTCCTTTTCTCTCTGATAGACTGAGGCTCTATTCTGCTCAGTCCAATGCTTTAAGGAGAAAAGAGAGACTGTGGGGACCCATGAGGGACAGAAGGTCACCAATGAGCTGGTGGAAGGGAATAGAAAGATGGGAGCTCAGGGCTATGTCATGGATCACCCAGAGATTCCCTGAGCACTTGAGTGGTTTCCTGTCTCAGGCCACACACCTGGGAAGATCTCAGGAGACCAGAGAGACTGGTAATGCTCTCAGACCAACTGGCTCCCTCCCCATCCTGGATTCCATTCCCCAAACGCCAATCCCTCTCACTCAGGTCTGTGAACCAAACTTACTTACACATATGGCTTGCCAGGCAGAGAACCTGCTTCAAAGCTCAGACCTGCACTGTCCAGTTCCAGCACAGAGGAGACGTTGAGGCATCAGGATATCTGCCCCATCACCAGAAGATTGTCCTCAGGCTGGATTTACAATACAGCTAATGCCTGGCGATCTGTCTCTCTCCTCAACACCGGCTATGGGTCCTGCTTTCTGTGTTACCTACTCTCGTCTACCCCATTGTCATTCTATTCTCTTTTCACACAGATTGGTTTTTTTTCTTGAAAGTTAATTATACAAGTGATCTGTGAATACAGTCTGAGTCTAAATGTGTCAAACCAAATAAAAAGTGTAGAATCACCACAGGGATACATCCCCCACCAGCACCTCATGCTGCTGCGTTCAGCTCCTGGTAACTTTGCCTGTAAATACAGACAAGAGTACATACGGGAGGAGTGACATGTGCCTCCCTCAGCTGTGTATCCATGGCATCAATTATCAATTTGTTTCTCCTCTCTGACGACGCTGCTTTCTGTGTTGGTACATGAAAGATCATTTTACCTTTTTAACTACTGTAGAGTATTCAGTTTTAAAATAGAAATACTCTTGCCTTGGAGATGTTTTTTAGGTTTTCAGGTTTTGTTTTGTTTTCCCCTATTCCTAACAGCCACAATGAACTCTTGTTCTCTCCTCTCAAAGTACAAGTATCAGACCATACACTTGTAGGATGGGACCTTGGAGAGGATGACTGGGCCTGAAAGCCAGGAGAAACCTTTATGTCGCTGGTCCCATCACAGGAAGGACACAGCCTTCTCAGGACCTTTCAGGCCCCCAAAGGAAGCCCTGTGACTAGACCCACACATCGTGTGCAGTTATAGCTACTCCACAACAGGATCTGCTTGCCACCCACACTGTGAATTCACATACGGCCTCTGCAGGGAGAGTTCTGAAGGATTCACTATGTAGCCTAAGACAGTGAGTTTGGCTGGCTTAGTAGCTGCCAGGCTGAGGCTGTAAAGTACCATCTTTCAAGCTGCCAGCCTCACAGCTCAGAACCCAGGGCCATGAACAATGGGCTTTAACAGCTAACTGTTCTGGGGGGATATGTGAGTACCTGTGTTCTGTTTCTAAGTAGGTGAGCTGTGCCAGTGTCTGATAAGGCTCCTAGGATCCCACCTTGGCCTCAACCCCAAGCCCATGGTTATGTAGAGCATCCTGTGAGGGCAAGCTCTTCTCCTGTAGCTTCTTCTCTACCAAAGCTGCCATCCCCTAGGGCTCTGCTCTCATCTCAGCCAGGGCACAAGCTAGTCCTTCCTTGCAATCTGGATTTGGCATTAGGAGCAGCTTATCCGTATCTGCCTTCCTCAAAAAGTCTTGAGTAAGAAGACTAATCTCTCCTGCTGTAATGTGAAGTCCGAATCCAACTGCTAGGAGAAGGCTAGAGAGGGACCAGAGGCTTCTGTGTAAAGCTGGACCTTCCTCACAAAGAGGTAGAGCAATGGGGGATGGAGGAACATGCTCTGCCCTTCCCCATTTCTTACACAACAAGAGGGAACAAGTATTCACAGCAGGTTCCACAAGGCCTGGATTCAGCTTTGGTTAACAACCAGTGGTTAACATATCTCCTTACAAGCTTCCAAGAGGGATTACTGTCCCCAGGTTAGATATAAGATAGATAAGGAACTTGTGATTCAGAAAAAAGAAGCCCTGAGTGACCTATGGCTGGTACAGGGCTCTTCTGAGCAATCTGTGTATTAGCTTTTTCAAGGAATTCCAGAAGAAAAATATGACTGTGCTGTCAGGCCTGATCTGGGAGCCTACAGGAGGGAAAAGGGGAACTTGCAGTGACCCCACCCACTGCCCCTCACAAGTGATCTCATATTCTGCCACTACAAAGGAAGTCCAACATGTAATATGATCCATTGGAGTCTAAGGTAGCTCTTGACAGCTTCTGAACACAATCTCTGCAACCCCTCCATCACCAGCACCTATGGCCCTCCTACCAAGTTAGCCAAGGTGTTTGGGCATTCAGTGCTCTCAATAAGTAAGGCACCTCTGCTCTGTACTGTGCAAAGAGAAGCAAGCAGACACAGAACCAGATGGAGTTCCTGCCCTCATCTGAGCATTAGGAGATTGCCAATCAATGAGGAAATAGATATTAGTGTCAGGGAGTCGTGGGTGACAAATAGGAAAGGAAATAGGGCAAAAGGTCAGGGGAGATGTGTGTCGGAGGTTGGGATGGTGGTGAGTAGATGGGCTGAGAGAAGTGATGGAGGAGATCACATCTGATAGGTGCCTGGAGGAAGTGAAGGAGGGAGCAGGTGGGTAGAAGGGATGCGGTGAGGAAGTAGTCGTAGAAAGAGGATCTAAGACAGAACATGTCTCATGAAGATAAGAAAGGGTAAAGGAGCCAGGGAGTGAGCAAGGGAAGAACTATGGGCAGGCAGTGGAAACAGCAGGGGAAGGTCACTGGGTCCTGAGAGGGGATTCCTGAAAGACCTGTGTACATGGCAGAGCTCTGGGGTCTCTCAAAGACAATGGAAGAAAATCCTGGAAGCTGGACAAAAGCAACAGATTTCCCCTTCGCAATCCTTACTTTATTATTCTGGGCTGTGAAAACAATATGGTCACTTCCTTCTTCTCCTTCTCTCACTTCCTCTTTCTCTCCGAACCTACCCCTGACCTTGTCCCTAGCTGGCTTGCCTGCATGCAGCTGAGGCACTGGCTGCCTCTCTGTAGCAGGCAGAAGACAAGGCCAGCAAGGGGACAAGGAAACAGGAGGAAAGACGCCCCTGGGAGAGGCAGGCAGCAGCACGAGGGCCGACGTCACAGGGCCTCTGACCGCTATTCATTTCAGTCGCCTGTGTCTCCATCAATAACCGTCTGCCAGTGACCAGGAGGGAAGAGGAGGGAGAGGAGGGAGGAGGGGCAGTGTGGGCCTGGTCCAGGGGAGGGAGAATGGCATGGAGACTCCTTGGCAGGAGGTAGAGCCAGCCCTGGAACGGGAGCTTCTGTCTCCCAAGATCTATTTCCTTTTTTTTTTTTTTTAATCTCTGTTTCCTCTTCACACACGTTCCCTTCCTGACATCTCTGCCAGCCAGCAAAGACAAGGGAGCAGGATCCATTTCTACATCAGAAGGGGAGGAACAGAGGTTAGTGGCTACAAGCTTGATAGTAAGGCACAGGAGAGGACATTGTGGGGACTCTGTGCATCAAGTGGCCACAAACAAGCCTAATGACTAGAACTGTCATGTGTACCAGACAGCCACTGCCAGCTGGAGAGCCTCCGGAGAAAAGAGCCTGAGTCTAGCACAGAGTAGGGATTCATGGAGTAAATGGCCTTGGAAGAACCAGAAGGCACGTGGTAAACAGTCAGTCAGGAAAGGATGTTCCCAGGCAGGGAGTGGAATGGTCAAAAACGGCTTCGAGGACTGGCTTGGGGTTAGTAACCGTGGCAACAGTAGACTGATCACAAAAAAATGGAATGGAAATAGAAGGAGCAAGAGAGGCAAGTGGGGGTCTACCCTGGGGTCCTTTTTCTAGGGTAGGGTCTTGGATGGTTTTGCAGACAAGCCTGTTTTAGCCAAAGACGGCCTTCACAGTTTTACTGCGGCTTCCAACTAGTTTTGCAGATCAGCCAAGCTACATTCAGATCCACGACCGAGGAAGAGGCCCCTGTAGCTAGTCAACAAACATTCTGTTCCTGTGTCGTGGTGCCTACAGAGGGGCACTGAGCCCTCCAGTAGGCAGGTTGCACCACACGGAACACTCTAGAGTTCCTGACACGAAGCACTGGAGTGGGGTTGTTACAGTGGCTCAGGGGGAGAAGTGGACAGGACTTTGGAGAGCATGCTCAGTTCTTTTCATTGAAGAAGACGCAGGCGAGGTGGTGTGAGGCAGAGCTATTCTCGAGGAGTTAGAGGCTGAACACAGGTAGGCCTCAGTGGGTTTGCTAGCCCAAGAAACCTTCCAACTAGGAGGTATGTGAAGACCCTCAGCACAGCTTTGACAGCAGGAATTGGGGCAGAGAACACAAGGACATATGACAACCCTATTCGTTTGATTAAGACAACTGACCTGCTCTGGCCTTTATCTGGAAGGTCCCTGACACTTGTACTCCTGGGGGGGGTGGGGGTGGGGGACCAGATCAAGGAAGGAAGCCCAGGCAAGAACAGCCAGGGGAGCTAAAAGGCAAAACTGCCGGTTCTGAGAGGTGTAGGGGCTAGCGTTGAAACTGATTAAAAACAACACTGACAGGGAGTGGGGAGACGGCAGAGAGGCAGAGACACCCGAAGCACTAGGGCGCAAGGACAGGGAGAGACCCACCGGCAGAGAAGGGGGGCGTGGGGAGTGGGGAGGACTCCGCGGAGGGAGCAAAATTGAAAAAGCCACAGAGGAAGGAGAAGCAGACAGACGGGAGACCGAGAGGCAGGGAAGCTCTGAGGAGAGAGCCCAGGAGAGAGCGAGGTGGGGAGAGAGTAGTGACGAACAGGAGGGCGGGAGAGTGGGGCGGGCGGCAGGGCGCGGCGGCGGGCCAGGCCTGGCTGGGGGCGCCCCCACTGACCCTTGTCGCCGCTTGCTTCCTTCCCAGGCTGCGCTTTCCTCACCTACTGCGAGCGTGAGTCAGCGCTGAAGGCCCAGAGCGCGCTGCACGAGCAGAAGACCCTGCCCGGGGTAAGTGGCGCCGGCCACAGCGCAGCCGGCCGCGCGCCGACAGGGGGCGACTTCGGGAGGTCGGGCAGCGACGCGCGGGGCGGGGACAGCAGGGACCCCACGGCCCGGGCTGCCTCCCGCTGAGCCCCCCAGCTCGCGCCCAGGGGAGGGTTCCGGGGCCGTGGGTACTGAGCTCGGACGCGCCCGTCGCTAGGGCTCCTGACTGTCCAGACCCGACGGGGGAGGATCTTGGCCGTGGCCGGGAGCCCAGGCGCGGCTAAAGCGCACACGGCCCGGGGCGGGGCGCTGCATGTCCCGGGCCTGGAGCCACGGACTGTCGGGCGGGCGATGCCTCCGAGATGCTCGCCTCGGTCCCAAGAGCATCCAGCAGGGCCCCGCTGGGGTCCTGCATCCGTGGCTCCCAAGCCCTGGGCCGCGATAGGAGGGGCACCTCCCCGCAGCCGCCAGTGAGATCACCGCGGTTTATTTAAGGAGCCAGCCCTCGTCTTTGATAAACTATCGCGCCTTGGCCCTGGTTTATAGCTTCTGCGCGGGGGAGAAGAGAATTATTTATGGCCCCCCTAACTGGGTGTGATATCAGCCGTGGCTATTATCGAGGCTAGTTCATCACCATAAAATAAGAAGTGTCCCTCGGGTCAAGGGTCTGCGCGGTCTCTCCTGTGGGTTCAGAGAGATTGGGTTGGAGGGGTTAGAAAATATACAGCTGCTGAGCTTCTAAAGATAAATGGAAAGATGTGTGTTTGTGGGCATAGCTTAGAGGATTTGTAAATATGCAGGCGTATACAGTGGGCGCTGCTGGGAAGCACGTGTGCTCTCGATGTGTGCACTCCTATGCTTAGGACATGCGTGTTTACATTCTTACCAAGCAAACCGTATGTAAACATAGGTTTCCATTTCTGCCCCACAGCAGGAAAGGTTAACCAGGTAGACAAGAGTAAATGGTACACCCCAGGGTGAAGCAGCACCCACATCTACCCGATCCCCCCTTGCTTCAGACGTCTTTAGTTAAGGCTTTGGGTCGAGAATGGGGAATTACACAGACCCTTCCTTCCATTATGACAGCCTTTGTATTGTATTTTCGTATTTGTGATTGCAAAGCACGGGGCTGAGTCATCTTAATAACATAGCCGCGGATGCAAATATATGGAAATGCAGGCGCCCGCAGATTTTGTGTGGAGCGGGGCTTTGGCAGGGTGGCCGTTCCCAGTTGGTTTTTTAGTGGCGCGACTACATGCACATATATTATAGTAATACTTTCTGGGTGTTCTCTGTAGGATGGCAGAAATGTGCTCCACCTTATGTGTGAGGCATGAAGCCATATTGTAAGATAGTCAAAGGTTTCTCATAAAGGTTTGTGCTGATTAATAAAGTGTTTATGGCACTTAGTTTGGGGGTGGGGTGATAGATATTTGAGAGCCACCGAAATGGAATAGAAAATACCACATTGTTATTGGAGACCTTCCATCAGCTTGAGAGAGATTGCTGGGGAGTTTCATAATGACTAAAAGCCGGAATCAGATGGGGAAACAGAAAGAGAGATGGTGGGAGGAGGGTTAGGATTTTTGAAAAAGGAAAAACCGACTGTGGATTGTTCCAGATCTAACCTTAACTCGCGGTTGTTTATTTTACATATAATAGAATAGCTAAATGATGAAGTGTATTAGTTCTTTAATAATTTATAGAAATACTTTGATGTTGCAGTAATTACATTAAAGGTCACATATCAAAGGTAATTTGGTTGAGCAGCTGTGATGGTTTCTCAGAAGCAATCAATATCACTGTCCGTGGTGCTGATTTCACCAAGGGGCCTGCCAGATTAAAGAAGGCTTATTACCAGGCAGAGAGGCCCAGGGGAAATCAGGAGCACGTTGGAGCGAGGCACCAGCCCCCCTTCCACCGATAATTAACACCATTCCCCATAATCTGCGCTAATCCTTCATACTGGGAGATCCAGTGGCATTTTTCTGAAATTACAAAGACAAGTTGGGCAAATCTGGGAGAAAAAGGCAAAACGAACCATGAATATATGTTGGCAGAGATGGGGTGAAAGTAGATGCCTGTGGTGGAGGTCAGACACAGCCCAGGATTTCCTGTACTATCCTTTCTTTAAAAGATTCCTGAGAAAACTCCAGCTCACAAACCTTGTCATACAGTTCTCTAAGAGGGAGGAGCTCACAGAGAGACACACGGGCGAGAAATAGAGTAGCAGCTACAGGTTCTGAGAACACAATGTCCCCACACAAACTCGAATGCAGACAAATGGAAAACAAAATAACCAAGTATAATTATGCTCTCAAGTGGAGTCATTTTGATCAGGAAAAGCAGAACTGCCATTATTATTATTGTGAGCTGGTTTTCTCCTTGGAGATCAGAGGAAGTATGCCACCAGCAAATGCAGGGCAAGGTCCAAGAAAAGTGTTCTTCAGCCAAATCATATGTGTTCCTGCCTGTTGAGGCTGTGCTTACAGCTGCCTGTGTGGCTGGAGTCGAGGCACAGGAGAAACCTCTTCTTGTCTGGGGCGGTCATGTTAGTTGCCCCAGTGAGCACCCTCCATATCTGACTAAGGAGAATCAAATTGAAAAAAGAACCTGGAGAACTGGTAGCCTCAGCAATTTAGGCACTTTTCCAGACTTCAAAACCCATTAAAATCAATGCATTAAAACCAACCCTCTACTTTCTTACCGAGGAGAGATAGGAGGAAAAGCTGGTGCAGTCAACACGTTCTGCTTCCCAGAAAGTTACAAAGCCAGCATCCCCCACCAGCTAGAAAAATAACCAATTGTTGTGCACAAAGGCACATAAGGGCACAATACACACACCGCTACATCAGCACAGCAACAGCAGCTGGACCAGAGGCACTCCTCACTCACCTTCATCCAGGAGAACAGGGAAGCTAAAGTTTCTCTTGGGATAACTAGAATTTTAGTGAACAAGTCCCCATTGAGTGTTCTTCTGAATCAGAGACCAATTTCTCTGGAAATCAGTCTAATTGAAACTGCTTTGAGAGATGATGGAGTCATCCCTTTGACCAGTGTCACAAATGAATTATTATTCTTGAATGTGCCATGATTTCAGTAGAGTGGAGTTACTAAACCATGAAGCCTCACCAGGGTCCTTGGGAATAGGGCCTCCTGCCAGAAAGTCAGCACACTGCAGTTTATAATATCTCTTTTGCTCTTTCTATCTCACTTTTGCCCACTTGCTATCTATCTATCTATCTATCTATCTATCTATCTATCTATCTATCTA